AGCTTTGTCTGGTGAGGGGAGGGGGGAATTGCCTGACCCATTGAAAACCTCTCACCCCATGCTGTGGAGTTTACACCTTGCTGTGGTTTACAGCCTGAGGAGACTGTAAATCACAATCAGCCTCCGGGTGTTTTGAGTCTTTGCCTGATCTTGCTTCTGGACCAGGGCTTGAAAAAACAGAACTTGGTGAGCATCTTAGTCCTTTCCAAATGCACCCATCCCCAGCAGAGCAAGCCACAAGCTGTGGATCACTGGTAGCTCCAAACAGGATACTCAAGGCCAGTCACAAATGGCATCTGACATTGGCCTGAACCAGAGACCCTCCAAAAGGACTGAGAGCCCTAGCAGATCTACCTAATACATAGAAACAAACCCAAATAGGCAGCCAAAATAGGGAGACAAAAAGCAAGCCCCAAGTGAAAGAACAAGAAAATTCTGAAATAAATGAATTTGAAGAGATCAATAAATTGGAGATAAGCAATCTATCAGATATAGAGATCAGAAACTGATTGTGAGAAGGCTCAACAGCATGAAAAAAGATATAGAAACTATGAAGGGAATTAAGAATGACATACCAAAAATAAATAATACATTGGAAGTAATAAACAGAAGATTAGGGGAAGCTGAGGATAAGATCAGCAAATTAGAAGACAAGGTAGAAAAAATCACTCAATCAGAGATCCAAAAAGAAAAACCAATTTAAAAACAAGCTGGACAGCTTAAGGGAGCTGTGGGACATAAAATGTAACAATATTCACATCATAGGTGCGCCAGAGGAAGTCAAAAGTAAGCAAGGGTTAGAGAACCTGTTTGAAGAAATAATGGCAGAAAACTTCCTGAACCTGGTGAAGGAGGCACAGAGAGTCCCAAGCAAGAAGAACCCAAAGAGGCCCACATCCAGACCCATCATAATTAAAATGCCAAGAATTCAAGACAAAGAAAGAATCTTAAAGGCAGTAAGAGAAAAGCAATCTGTTACCTATAAAGGAGCTCCCATAAGGCTGTCAATGGGCTTTGCATCAGAAACTCTATAGGCCAGAAGGGAATGGCATGAAGTATTCAAGATCATGCAAAACAAGGATCTGAAACCAAGACTACTCTATGCAGCAAGGCTATCATTCAAAATAGACGGTGAAATAAAGAGCTTCCCAGACAAAAAAAAAAAAGGAGGGGGGGTGGCTAAAGGAGTTTATCATCATCAAACCAGGATTGCAGGAAATGTTAGAGACTGATATCACAAGAAGTTGAAATAAAGAGAACCAGAAACATAGGCATAAAGAAATAAAATGGCAATTGATAAGTACCTATTAATAATAACCTTAAATATAAACAGAATAAGTACCCCAATCAAAAGACATAGGGTAGCTGAATGGATTAGAAAACAAGATCCAACTATATGCTGTCTACAAGAGACCCACCTCAGAACAAAAAACTCACACAGGATGAGAGTGAAGAGATGGAAAAAAATTTTCCATGCAAATGGAAATGAAAAAAAATGAAGGCCACAGAAGAGACAAAGTAGGTCACTATATAATACTAAAGTGATCTTTCCAACAATAGGTAGAACCCTGGTAAACATATATGCACCCAATATAGGAGCACCTAAATATATTTTTAAAAGACTTCTGGGGGACTTTAAGGGAGAGATTGACAGCAATACAGTCATTGTAGGGGACTTTAACACCTCACTCACTTCCCTGAATAGATCTTCTAAACAAAAAAATCAACAAGGAAACAGTAACTCTAAATGACACACTAGATCAGATGGATTTATGAACTGCCATATGACCCAGTGATCCCACTTCTGGGAATATATCCTAAGAACCCCGAAACACCAATCATAAAGAACTTATGCACCCCTATGCTCATAGCAGCACAACTTATAAACAGCTAAGATCTGGAAACAGCCTAAGTGCCCATCAGTAGATGAGTGGATAAAAAGCTGTGGGACATTCACACCGTGGAATACTATGCAGCTGTAAAGAAAGGTCCCTTATCCTTTGCAACAGCATGCATGGACCTGGAGAATATTATGCTAAGTGAAATAAGCCAGGCAGAGAGAGACAAATATCATATGGTCTCACTTATATGTGGAATCTAGTGAACAAAATAATCTGACAAACAAAATAGGTCCAGAGACACAGAAGCATGGAGCAGACTGACAGGCAGAGTGGTGGATGGGTGGGAAGAGATTAACCAAAGAACTTATATCCCATGTGCCTTCTTATGAAGCCATGGCTGAGTCATAACAAATTATGACTGTCCTCTCTCACTTCCTAGTTTTTTAAACAGCTTTATTTGGATATAATTCTCTACAATTCACCCACTTAAAGTATACAATTCAGAGGTGTTTAGTATGCTCATAGAGCCGTGCAACCATAACCATGAATTTAGACTATTGCATCAACCCAAAGAAATCTTCCGAACAACACGTAGTCACTCTGCATCCCTCCCTCACTTCTCTGCCCCACCCCCACCCCAGGCCTAGACAACTAATCTCCATTCTGCTTCTAGAGATTTGCCGTTCTGGACTTGTCACAGAATTAGAGTCTTGCCGATGGTGGTCTTTTGGGACCATCCCCTTTCACTTAGCGTAAGTTACCATTGCTTTTCAAGTTCCCCCTTGTGGTGGCGCACATGCTTCCTCTCAGGTGTCGACGGTTCGCCTGCATTTGTCCATTCACCAAGCAGCGGGCGTATGGGTGGGTTTCACTTTTTGGCTGTTATGTATGATGCTACTGAAAGTAATCATGTACAGGTTTTTTCTTTTTCTTGGGCATAAATATGTGCAGATATACATATATATACACACACATGTATATAAGATTGCTGGGGTATGTGTTAATTCTTTCTTTAATATTTGAGAAACAGCCCAACTGTGCCATTTCGATTTCCACTGGCGTTTTAGAGTCCCAGTACACTCTTGCCTGCATTGGTAGGATTGGTGTTTCCTGTCCTTTTGTTTGCTTGTTTGTTTGCTGCTTTAGCATCTTAGGATGTGAAGCAGTGTCCTGCTGTGGTTTTGATTTGCATCTCCTTAAGGACTAATGATGTGGAGCTTTTTTCATGTGTTTATTGACCATTTGTATATTTTTTGAGAAATGTCTGTTTACATTCTTTACTAGTTTTTTAATTGGGTTATTTATCTTTTGATCATTGAGTTGTAACAGTTCTTCATATATCCAGGATATTCATCCCTTATCAGATGTGTGATTTTCAATTTTTTCTGTTCTGTGGGGAATTTTACTTCCTTAATAATATAGTTTGGAGCAAAAATTTTTTTATTTTGATTTATCTATTCTCCCTTTTATTGGTTGTGGTTTTGTTGTATATGAGAAAAGGTTTTGACTAATCCATTTGTGAGCTTTTTAAAAAATATATCTTTATTGATTTCAGAGAGAGGAAGGGAGAGAGAGAGAGAGAAACATCAATGATGACAGAGTCATGGATCAGCTGCCTAGTGCACGCTCCCTACTGGGGATCAAGCCCTCAGCCCAGACATGTGTCCTGACCAGGAATCAAACCTTGCTCTTCTGGCTCATAGGTTGATGCTCAACCGCTGAGCCATGCCAGCCGGGCCTATTTGTGAGCTTTTAATTCTATTTTAGCCCCCTTAACCCTGCCTGCCTCGTTTTTCTAATGCTCTTTGTTGAGTTTGTTGAGGGGGAGTTATCTACACTCACTAATGTAAACTAAGAAAAGAAATGCAAGTCACCCTGCAGTCTGATATGAAGAGTGACACTGAATAAAACTTCTCATTTTCTATTGAGCACTCTTTGTCATCACAAGGGAGTTCTTATTTCTCATATAGAAAATGTGATTTAAAACAATAAAAGTTACCATTTATTAAGTGCCAGATAGGATGCCTGCATTACCTCATTTATACTGCTAGTCACCTGCTGAGGCAGCTATTACCCTACCCTCTCCACAGGAGGACACTCGGAAAGGTCGGGGACTGGCCATGTCACCTGGCTAGACACAGAGATAGCCAGGAGAGGGCCCAGGGGCCACACCTCAGCCTTCTTTCATAGACTTGCACTTCTTTTCAACAAAGAGACTTAGTAATAAAATCCTTTAAACTGAAACTTTGGACGTGCCGTGGGGTTTTTCAAAACTGGTTTTTACGTCTGTTCGTGGAGCTTGTGCTTCTGCTTATTTGTTTGTTTGTTTAATACTGTGAAAAGGTGACGGGGAACTAGAGCTTCATTCTTTCTTTGGGCTACTGCTCGCAGAACCCAGGGCTGAGCTATGCCTCCTCCTTCCCCGCCCCTCCTCTTCCTTCCCCACTCGGGGGTCCCATAGGACCCCGGGCGCAGACACTCCTGCTTTACACCGGTGGTCTGGCGCGTAGCGATGGCTTTTCCTCGCTCAAAAGTGCCCTGGTTCAGATGACGGCTACATGGTCGCCCTAGCGGCTTGTCACTGAGCCTGCCAAGGTGTCCTGTTGTGGCTGCCCACTAGGTGTCAGTCGTGTGAGCCCCAGAGAATCCTCGGGAAAGTCAAATCAGGGCAAATAATTAAGTGTGTTCAAGAGCAACCTGCAGCCTCGGGCACTGAGCAAGCGAGAGAGCGGGGAGGAGGGGGCAGGTGCAAGGCAGGCGCCCGCGCTGGGCCGGCAGAGCGGGGGGGCCCCTGGGGAGACGGCCTCCAGTGAGACCTGGGAAGGCACGTGGCGTTCGCACCCGCAGGATCAAGCCAGGGTGCAGGGCAGTGAGGAGGCAGCTTTGACTTCAGGCATATTTCGCCTTCACAATTTGCTCTTCAAATCACAGCCAGGTAAAGGTCGCACAGATAGCTGAACAAACGCAGCGAATGACTGCGTCTGAGCCAGAAGCGGAGCTGCCTGAGCCCGAATCCTTCCAAGGCCGTCTGGAAGCATCTGCGTTCAGACCTCCATGCCCCACTCGGACTCTGGGAAGGCCCGCGGGCCGCGCGCCTGTCGCTGCTGACCCGGTGGGCGCCTGAGCTCCGGGCCCCCCTGGCTGTGAGCGGCGCCCACAATGGCCCGCGGGGCGGGAGGAGCCCGCAGCGTGGCTTCTGCAGTGTTCGAGCCTTTTTGTCCTTGGAAGTGGCTGCTGTTGCTAGTAGCTGTCAAGTGCTCGGAAGCCACCTCTGATTTGAACAAACCCGCCAATTTCACCGCCCAGCATGGACCTGATGTTCGGTCCGCTGCTGCCGCCAGCTCAGGGCTAGAGGAGATCACCGTTTTCACGCTGGATTATGACTATGTGCAAATTCCTTACGAGGTCACCCTCTGGATACTTCTAGCATCCCTTGCAAAAATAGGTAAGTCCCAAACCCCGGGTTGTGCAAGGTGTTTTCCACGAGATGCTGTATGTGGAAACTCCTTGTAGAAAACGCCGTGAGCCAAGTGGATTGTGACTGTTACTGCTACGGCATCTACAGTCCTGTCCCTGGCTCCCGGGAAAGCCAGGCAGCTTCTTATAAAGCCACTTAAGCCTTCAGAAGTGTGCTTTGAAATTTAAAAGTATACCTTGGGTCCTCGGTTGTTTTGATGTCTTCTCATTTCAGTGTGACAACCATGTGACATTATTTGGTGTGCAAAAATCTCAAGGTTCTGTGCTTTAAAAATACTATAGAGTGAAACATGTAGACCTCAGCATGATGGCCATTGGGAATATCGGGAGCCATATAATGATTTTTCTGTAAAATATTTTTCCTTTATTCTTAGCCATGTAGCCAAGGGTTTCATCAATGGTTCCCACTGTTAATTCCTTAAAAGTGCTTGTCCTCCTTGAAAATTGACAGAAAGCAAGGAACAAGACAATCACAGGCGACTCCTACGTACCTGGGGGGTGGGGGGTGGGGACATATGGATGATATCCGTCAATAAAGTAATGCTTTACAACTGAGCCTAAAGAAGCCAGTGGGGCACCAGTGCTTTCCTTTGTGAAATAAAATGAATTCAAATTAACAATTAAATTCTGATCAAGGTCCTTCGTGCCAAAACCAATGTGACGGTTTACACTCTGTGACCATTTAATTCCTAACCTATTTGGGCCCTGGCCAGGTGGCCCAGTGGGTTGGAGCACCATCCCCTGCACCAAAAGGTTGCAGGTTTCACTCCCAGTCAGGGCACATGCCTAGGCTTCAGGTTCAGTCCCGGGTCAGGGTTCGTATGGAGGCACCTGATCAATGTTTCTCTTTCACATCAATGTCTCTCTCTCTCTCAAATCAATAGAAGCATATCCTCAGGTGAGAATTTTAAAAAGTAAAATAAAACCAGCTTATTCTAAAGTGCAAAACTGATACAATTATTTCAGTTATTGTGTATAACCTATACTTTGCCTTAGTTATGAAATTTGTTGAGTAGATAAGTTGCTGTATTAAAATCTATGGTGCTCATTTAAATTCTCCCTCTAAGGTGGTGTGAAATGTGGGTTGAGCCATGAGATCTGCCAAATGATCCTTGGGACTGTGGCATGTTAGGATGCCAGTGTATTAATCAGGTGCTCCTTCATAACCGCTATTCCTCTTGAGCTGGTAAGGTATGAAGATTAAACGGAAATTGTTAGCTTGAAGAAGCCTTGAGTCGTCTGTCAAATGATTAAATTATACAAAGGGTCTCACATCATCTCTAAGAACTGCTCAAGTAAAAATGGCTTTCTAAAGGGCTAATATTCTCAGTTCAGAGCTAGGGTCTAACACCTTTCAGACCACCACATGGACACGGAGAACTTTCCCGGTGGTCTTGTGTGGATCTTAGGTTATCCACTGTAAACGATGCTGGAGATCCTCCCTGCCTCGCCCCTTGCTCCTCGCGGGAACGGGTGGAGTTGTTCTGGGTTCAGGAGCTGGACTGCCAGTGGCTGGCGAGTCACTTTGTCTTTCTAAGTCTCAGTTTGTTTGTCTGTGAAATTATTTTTAAGACATCTTTTTGGTGCAAATAAGGAATTTTTTATAAAAAAGAGGCTTATGTTCTATGTCAGTAAACATCTCAATGCAGAAAGGATATACTTTATCTCAGTTTGATTTTAGCATAAAACAGATTTTTCTTTAGAGGTATCATCTGTGACCAGACTCACTATGTCTAGAAGTGTAGAGTGTTGTAGTGGTTTAAATGTTCTCGATTTTCAAGTTGATAGAATTCAATGTACTTTAGAAGAAGAAAATAACTTAAGTAGGCTTTTAGATGGATGATGAACATTCAAGTGTGATTTCATATTTGCTAGTCTTTAGGAATTCAGGTCATTTTTACATCGCACATGACAGGAAGGCCATGTTTATTGAATATATACTCGGTGCCACATACTGGGCTTGTAGGTTTATAGATAGTGGCTCATTCACCTGGGCCAAAAAAAAAAAGACATAAAACTTTAAGACAAAAAACCCATATAGATTCTTTTAGGTTCTATATTATGAAACTGGAATCAAAATATAATTAATAATTATTATTCATTCTTTTATTCAGTCATTCTGCCAAGCCACATTTATTGAGCACCCATGCAATATGTGGAAATGACCATGAGTCCCAGTGTCAAGGGATTTAGTTTAATGGGGAAGACAGGCACTGTGACAGAAAACATCACGACTCTCCCCAATCCTTTTTGTTTATTTATTTTTTTAAATATGTTTTTATTGATTTTAGAGAGAGAGGAAGGGAGAGGGAGAGAGACAAACATCGGTGAGAGAGAGAAACATCGATCAGCTGCCTCCTGCACAACCGCTACTGGGGATCGAGCCCAAAATCCTGGCATGTGCCCCGACCAGGAATCCAACAGGCGGCCTCCTGGTTCATGGGATGACACCCAACCAACTGAGCCACACTGGCCAGGGTTCCCCAATCCTTTTACAAAAAACACCCGCTGTGCATGTTGTAAGAGAATGATATTTTAGAACAAAGATAACACGAAGTCACTTCAGACTTTGCTATTTATCTTTTATTTCAGTTCCACTTCTTTTAACTTTCTAGAAGGATGTTCCTGAATCATTGGGCAGATGGAATGGAGGACTGTCTTTGATCTATAGGTAGGACTTGGTTATCTGTGGCCCTTTAAGTTTCAGTCACTGAAACTAAAAAATCTCTAAGTGGCTGACTCTTGCCCATCACGAGAGGGGTGAATAGCTGTGAGCATGAAGGGCGGCGGCACTGCCCTCTGCGGTGCCCTCCTTGCAGGCACGGGGCCTCTTTCTGCTGTTGCTACGTAGGCACAGCCTGGCACGTGGTGGCACATGTACGCATTTCAGGAAACTGGGTTCCGGGGAGCAGCGCCAAACTGGGGAGACACAGGGCCTGGTAAAAGTCTACTAAGGGCTCTTCCCCCTCTTTTACATTTTAAAAAGTTCAACGTGTTTGAAATAAGCACCACAAGGTGAAGACGAAGGTGGGGGAGGAGGAAGGGGAAGGGAAAGTTCTCGTTCAGAAACAGGGCGCGCAGGGCCTAGCAGGGGGCCTCGGGCTGGCTTGGAGCCGCCGGGCCGGTGCGTGGCCTGGGGCGCTGCCTCGATACTGATCGTGGGCCGGGTATGAACCAGTCTGCTGTCGTGAATGAGAATTCAGGGCAATGGTCAGGGGAACCCGCAGGCTCTTTGGGTGGCTGACCCTGAAAAATGCCTCAGGAGACAGTCAATGGCCCCCAGGGTCTATGGGAGGAAACCTACGCTCCTTAACCTTGAATTCAAGGCCCTCGTTGTTTGGCTCAAAATCGTCTTCTAACCCCTTTTCCAGTGCTCTTCCCAGCCAGGTGGAGCCCCCCAGTGAATGTCGGAGAGACCAGGCTGGCCACTCCTGCCCCTCCCTCTTTCCCTTGGTGCTCAAGCCTAAAACGTCTTCCGTTCCGTTGCCTAACTATGTGAGCCCCGAGAACTCTGCAACACCTGTTCAGCCTCTACCCCCGTGTAAAACCTTCTCTCGTGAACGTTTAACCTGCTCCTTCATTCTTTTATGCACACAAATTCTCCCAGCAAGTGGGCTGGCTGTTACCTAGCAGACAGCTTGCTAAGCGCTGTGGGAGATATGAAGACGTCTATCATTCCGCCTGGGCTTGAGTTCAGAATTAAGTACGGGAGATAAGTCACCCACAAAAATGGTAGAAAGGGATCATTGCTGTTAGACAGGTGCGGATAACATGTTATAATAATTCAGAGGAAGATGTATTATTTCTTTTTGCTTAGCCTCAAAGACTGAGCAGGACCAAAGCAGTGTGAGTAAAAGAACAATCCAGGCAGCAACAACAGGACATGCAGACAAGGGGCCTGCGGGGCGCTAAGGTGTGTGGCCGGCTCTGGTGCAGGAGCGTAAACACAGCCCCGCGCGACCGGGCTCTCACCCGCGACGGGACAGGACCGCCTCTCCTATCTGCCCGTGTGCTATGTGCATTTCCCTGCATGCTTACACATTTTATTGCTTTTGTCTTATTTGTTAACGTCTTGTTTCTAAAATGCTGGAACTGTAGAAAACACTGTCGGCCCCCCGCCTCCCAGTACTTCCCAGCGGGCTGGTTAGCAGGGAATTTTGACAAATACCCTCAGTTTAAAATCCGTGGGACGCGTTGTGTGCCTTCGTCGGTGGGGGATGAGACCATCGGACTCGCGTGGTGTAGAGACGTCATCTGGCGGCAGGATGTGGAGCGAACTGGGGGGTTGAGGGTGAGAGAGAAGGTCGGGAGGGCAACGCAGTGGTTAGAAGAAACGGGCAGTCCAAGTAAAGGTGGCGGCTGTAGAGTTGGACAGAAGGGGAGGGACTTCAGGGACAGCTAATGAGAGACGTTACTGACGAAATAAGGAGTTGATTGAATAAGGGGACACAGGTGATGGGGTCATGAGAATGAGACTTGATTTCCCTCTTCAGTGACTGACTGGATGACGATGTCATTGATTAAATAAGGGAAACAAAATACAGGCCTTTTAATTTTTGTTTCTTTGGAGGAGAGGGGAGTGAGGTAAGGTGAGCTTGGAACAAAGCTGGGCCGTAGGCGATGCTGAGAGACTCTGCATGAGCTTTACAGGTGCTTTTGCACGAGTGCAGACAGGCCCCCTCCTCTGCCCCCTTCCCTCCGGTGCCTCAGACCCTGTAAGATGGGGAAAGCAGGGCCAAGGAGGGGGGGCTGCTGCCTGGGAGCCCTGACTCTGCCACCCGCCCCGGGGCTGGCCTGCGAAGCACTTGGACCTGTGTAAGGCCCCCACAGCTCTTCCAGTTCCTGCCGCCCGGGGCGCTGAGGCTCGGAGAGCGCCCCAGCTTGCCCAAGGTTCCCCCCGCATGGCTCTGAAAGAACCCTGTCCCCACCTGCTGCTATCTCGGTGCCGCATTATTAGCAAACAGCTAAATGTGGGTCTCTGCTCCCCCAGGCTTCCACCTTTACCGCAGGCTGCCCGGCCTCATGCCTGAGAGCTGCCTCCTCATCACCGTTGGGGCTCTGGTGGGAGCCATCATCTTCGGCACCGATCACAAGTCGCCTCCGGTCATGGATTCGAACATTTACTTCTTGTACCTCCTTCCCCCCATCGTCCTGGAGGGCGGCTACTTCATGCCCACCCGGCCCTTCTTTGAGAACATCGGCTCCATCGTGTGGTGGGGGGGCCTGGGGGCCCTGATCAACGCCTTCGGCATCGGCCTCTCCCTCTACTTCATCTGCCAGATCGAGGCCTTTGGCCTCAGCGACGTCAACCTGCTCCAGAGCCTGCTGTTCGGCAGCCTGATCTCCGCGGTGGACCCGGTGGCCGTGCTGGCCGTGTTCGAGGAGGCCCGAGTGAACGAGCCGCTGTACATGATGATCTTCGGGGAGGCCCTTCTCAACGACGGCATTAGTGTGGTGAGATGTCAATGACAGGTCCCCGGGGAGCTGAGGGGTCCGTGGGGCAGG